GCAATTTATATGCAGAACAATTTATCGCCGCCAACCCAAATTCAAACCTTGCCAGACCAGTCACATGGAAACTCATTACGGTTTTTGAATTTACATTTTTTTTGGGCCTAACCCTCAACATGGGCATTACTAAAAGAAATGAATTGCGGTTGTATTGGTCCGCAGACCCGATTCGTCATATGCCCGTGTTCTCTGCTGCCATGGGCAGGCATAGATATGAGAGTATAATGTGTTTTATGCATTTCAATGACAATACATTCTGTCATCCTCGGGGTGACCCTGAATTTGACCGCTCCACAAAATTCAGCCCCTCGCAAATCACCTTAACCAAAAATTTGCAGATGTCTATACTCCCCAGCAAAACATCTGCGTTGATGAGTCCCTCATTAATTTTTCTGGCCGCCTTGCATTCAAACAATTTCTCCCCAGCAAGCGTGCCAGATATGGGGTCAAGATGTAGAAGACCTGTGAGAGGACAACTGGCTCTACTTATAAGTTTTGGATTTACAAGGGAAAAGATAGTCACGTGGAGCCCCCTGGATGCCCAGACTACATGGGGAGCAGTGACAAGATAGTTTGGGACTTGGTGTCATCCTTTTTCCATATGGGGTACCACTTATACGTGGACAATTTTTCTTCAAGCGTGCCACTATTTAGACATTTGTACAATCTTGGAACTGGCACTTGTGGCAAAGTGTTACCTAATGTGTGCCCACCATTAGAAGTGGGTGGATGCAGGGCGGTATATTCTAATGGTGGGCATACCACACACTTTTTCTGGCAGAGATTTCTTCTCATTTTTGTCATTCAGTCCACAGGCTGCATACAAAAAAAAAAGAACATAGTATATATACCCAACAAGGACCAGCGATGTACTGGTACATCACTGGACTTTGAATGGTTATACCAGGATGATGCCTACAGCTGCAGGCATCATCCCGGTATCATTTTTTTCAGCCGGCAATCGGCTTTCATGTAAAAGCAATCCTAGTGGCTAATTAGCTGCAGGATTGCTTTTACAAGTAGTGGGAGTTGATGACCCCCCTCCCCCGCTGCCTTCCACGGCCTTCTTGGGCAGTCTCGTGCCATCGGGGGAACCTGAGAATGCAGCCGGTGTTTCTGCCAGCTGACCATAGAGCTGATTGGAGACCAGAATGGTGCCAATCATCTCTATAGTCTAAGAATTTGGAAGCTACAAGCATTTCATCACTTCAGGTTTGCAGGATATAAACAGCTCCATTTGTAAATTGGGAAAGCATCTGATCACACCGATTTTGGTTTGATCAGATAATGTAAGGGTAGAGGAGATATCTAGAGTATGATAGACCCCAGATTTCACAAAAAAGAATATATGACAATGCCCATTGAAGTTATAGGGGATATTTGCATTCTGTGTTAGAGCATTAAAAGTGATAAAAAAAAATGAAAGGTACAAATGTAAAAATAATAAAAAAGAATCAAAATAACTAAAAAAAAAAAAAATCACCCCTCCCATGCGCGCACACCTGTGTGCACAAGCCTTGACCCTGTGGCGGTATGTAAACAGTGGTTGCACCATGCATGTGAGGTATTGTCGTGAATGTCAGATCAAGGGCAGTAATTCTAACACTAGACCTCCTCTGTAAATCTAAAATGGTAGCGTTTTAAAGGCTTTTAAAGCGTTGCCTATGGATATTAAAAATATTTGCAGTTTGTCGCCATTGCACGGGGCATGCACAGTTTTAAAGCATGTCATGTTTGGTATCTATTTACTCGGCATACCATTATCTTTTATATTTTACAAAATAATTGCCCAATATATTGTGTTTTTGTGCATTAAAAGTAAACAAAGTGTATTTTTTTTTTAAATTTGCTTTTGAAAAATCGCTGCGCGAATACTATGTGCCAAAAAAAATTGTAGTAATAAATATAAAGTGCAGTGCTAAAATGTCAAACCAACAGTTCATTCAAAAAAGTTTGTGCAATATTTCAATTGATATAGTGACAACTAGGTAGTAACACAGCTGTGAAAGATCCAGTAGAAATGACAGAAATGCGCACTCACCGACCACGCATAGGAAATGCGCATGTATGTATTAAGATCAGCAGGCAACGTTTCCCTCAAGAAGGGGTGTCATCAAGCGATGGTCTGCTGGACTCAGAGAACCTCCTCAAGATCAGGGTGCACAATCCGGGTGAAGGTTCCCTCCTCTGGATATAGTATGCAGTGAAGGCTGTGTATGCTGGTCTTAGGGTCTGCACAGTGCTGTGTTGGGCCCTATAGGAGGCGGTATAACGGCAGGAAACGACGCCTGCTGATCTTAATACATACATGCGCATTTCCTATGCGTGGTCGGTGAGTGCGCATTTCTGTCATTTCTACTGGATCTTTCACAGCTGTGTTACTGCCTGGTTGTCACTATATCAATTGAAATATTGCACAAACATTTTTGAACGAACTGTTGGTTTGACATTTTAGCGCTGCACTTTATATTTATTATTTAGACGTGAGGCGGTTGTGATCTCCTCTAGTGCTTTAGCTGCTTATTTAGATTTAAGGAGCGCTCGCTTTATTACATACAAAATTGTAGTACCCACCATTTTATTCAGTAGGGTGTCTGCTTTAAAAAAATATATAATGTTTGGGGGTTTAAATTAATTTCCTAGCAAAAAATACTGATTTTTTTTCAAATGAACAAAAAGTGTCAGAAAAGGCTTGGTCTTCAGGTGGTTAGAAGAGTGAGTGATGTGTGACATAAACTTCTAATGCTGGGCATAGAATGCCCCCACCCCCCAAAATGACCCCTTTTTGGAAAGTAGATACCCCAAACTATTTACTGAGAGGCAAGCTGAATAAGTAGAAGAATTTATTTTTTTTCCACAAGTTTTTGGAAAATGACAAAAAAAAAAATATTTTTTTTTAAACAAAATTGTCACTTAAATGATGTACTGCTCACACATACCATGGATATATGTGGAATTACTCCCCAAAATACATTTTGCTACTTCTCCTGAGTATGGGGGTACCACATGTGAGAGATGTTTTGGCAGTCTAGCCAAGCACAGGACCCCAAAATCCAATAAGCACCTTCAGGCTTTCAAAGGGCTTTATTTCCTCATTACAATTCCAGACTACCTATCACAGTTTTGGAGGCCCTGAAATGCCAGGATAGCACCTAACCCCCCCCCCCCCCAAATGACCCCTTTTTGGAAAGTAGACACCCCAGGGAATTTGATAAAAAGCACTGTAAGTATTTTGCAGATCTCATTTGGTACCACCAGTTTTTGGAAAATGAAGAAAAAAAACAAAAACATTTTGTCTATTTTTTTATATTTCAAAACCTTGTGAGAAAAAATGAGATCTACAAAATACTCACCATGCTTCTTTTTAAATTCCTTGGGGTGTCTACTTTCCAGAAAGGGGTCATTTGGGGGGGTTTGTGTGCTATCCTGGCATGTCAGGGCCTTCGACTCTGTAATAGGTAGTGAGGAAGTGTAATGAGGAAGTTACACATCTTCAAGCTTTCAAAGTGGTCATTGGATTTCAGGCTCCTGTATGTGGCTAGGCTCCCAAAAAGTCTCACACATGTGGTATCCTCATACTCGGTAGAAGTATCAGAATGTATTTTGGGGTGTAATTCCACATATACCCATGGCTTGTGCGAGAAATAAATCATTTAAATGACAACTTCGTGTAAAAAAAACAAAACAAAATGTTTTGTCATTTTCCAAAAACGTGTGGGAAAAAAATAAATCTTCCATGGACTCAATATGCCCCTCAGCAGATAGCTTAGGGTGTACTTTCCGAAAAGGTGTCATTTGAGGGTGTTTGTACTATCCTGGTATTTTAGCACCTCAAGAAATGTGATAGGCAGTCAGAAAGTAAAAGCTGTGTAAATTCCATTATCTATACCATAGTTTGTAGACGCTATAACTTTCACACAAAGCAATCAATATACACTTATTGGGATATTTTTAACCAAAAACATGTAGCAGAATACATTTTGGCCTAAATTTATAACTAACTTTGAGTTTACTATATATTTTTTATAGCTGAAAGTGAAAATATTGTTTTTCTTCAAAATTTTTGGTTTTTTTTTGTTTATAGCGTGAAAAATAAAAAGGTGATCAAATACCAAGAAAGCTCTATTTGTGTGAAAAAAAGAACATAAATTTTGTTTGGGTGCAGCATTGCATGACCGCGCAATTATCAGTTGAATTAGTGCAGCGCCGAGTAGCAAAAAGAGGCCTCGCCAGGAAGGGGGGTAAATCCTCAGGGAACCTAGTTTTGATCAGATAAAAAAAAATAAACAATATCTGCTCTGACTGAGAGTGTAAAGCAGCTAACACCAACAGATAGTATACAAGCAGGGGCGGACTGACCATTCAAGCACTGGGGCACTGCCCGAGGGCCCGGGGTCAGTAGGGGGCCCCATGAGATGCCCCTGTTACCTTTCATTGGCTTTTTCATAGGCTTTTTTGGGTGTTGTAAATATATAATTATAAATATATAATTAAAACCTAAAGTGTAGCGCCAAACATATGATAGTGAGGCTGAAATTATCAAAACAAATATAATGTAATAAACATCCGTGATATCCAAAAACAATAACAATGAAAGAAATTTATATAATGTCCATCCACCACCATAAACTGCTCCTGCTTGCAGCAAAACAATTTAAGATTACTGTCACCGTCTCCCAGTGAATACAAAACTCACCAGAAAATGATGGCTGCCACTGCAACAGCATAAACGCCCATGTGATTAAACAAAGATTCCAAAGGAACAGGTATCTTGACATGAGATCAGTGGTTGTCATTCTGTCTAGCCGAGCTACAGTGAAATAAAGCTCGCCAAGAGCAAATAGAATTCCAATAGTATAGTATCTATTAACCACCTCCTGCCCGCCATATAGTCCAATGACGGGCTCAAGGTGGTTCTCTCGTTCTGGAAGGACGTCATATGACCGCGCATGCGTGGCTCAGAGAGCGCGCAGTGCGGTGATCGGCAGTGCGCTGTGTCCCTCGGACACAGCGGATCACCGATCTATGGAAAGAGCCAAAGATGTCGGCTCGGTCATGTGATCAGCTGTGTCCAATCACAGCTGATCGCATGTAAATAAGGAAATGCCGGTTATCGGCATTTCTCTCCTCATGAGCTGTCACGCTGACAGCTCGAGAGGAGAGGAGAGCCGGCAATCAGCATTCCGCGGAGGGGACATCTACACTGATCATCAGGGCACTCATGATCAGTGTGCCCTGATGATCAGTGTGGCCCCAGAAGTGCCACCTGTCAGTGTCCATCAGTGCCAGCTGCCAGTGCTGAACAGTGCCACGTGCATGTGCCACATCAATGCCACATATCAGTGCCTACCAGTGCACATTAATGCCACATATCAGTGCCCATCTGAGCTGCCTTTCAGTGTCACCCATCAGTGCCAGTCAGTGCCACCTATCAGTGCTGCCAATCAGTGCCACCTATCAGTGCCAGTCAGTGCCGCCTATCAGTGTCAGTCAGTGCCACCTATCAGTGTGCATCAGTGCTGCCTCTCAGTGCCCGTCAGTGCCGCCTATCAGTGCCCGTCAGTGCCTCCTATCAGTGCCCGTCAGTGCCGCCTAACAGTGCCAGTCAGTGCCACCTAACAGTGCCAGTCAGTGTCCCCTATCAGTGCCATATATCAGTGCTGCCTTTCAGTTCCCATTAGTGATGCCTGTCAATGCCCATCAGTGCCACCTACCATTGCCTCCTCATCAGTGCCCATCAATGCCACCTATCAGTGTCCATCAGTGCAGCCTATCAGTGCCCATCACTGCAGCCTCATTAGCGCACATCAGTGAAGGAGAAAAATCACTTATTTACAAAATTTTACAACAAAAACTAAGAAAAAACATTTTCTTTTTCAAAATTTTCAGCGATTTTTGGTTTGTTTAAGAAAAAATGAAAAAACCCAGAGGTGATTAAATACCACCAAAAGAAAGCTCTATCTGTCACAAAAAAAGTATAAAAATTTCATATAGGTACAGTGTTGCATGACCGCAAAGCGTGACAGCGCTGAGAGCTGGAAATTGGCCTGGGCAGGAAGGGGGTATAAGTGCCCTGTAGGCAAGTGGTTAAAATCCGAAGTAAAAAACAAATAAAGCAAAGAGATGTCAGCTTACATAAACAGCCACTGCCGACCTGGAATCATAAAATACAACTATAATATCTAGTTTTGTTGGTGTATGCTTTGCTTCTACATTTTCCATGAATTGCTCCTAAACAATGAGAATAACTTTCACTGGCAGCAACATGCCTCAGCAAGGAAATCAGAAACCAAAGCCAAACATTGTTTATTTTGGATATAATAGGAAAGGGTTATTATTATTTAAACCGCTTTCCTACCGCACTATAGCAGATATATGTATACAGTATATACGTGCTTTTACTGTACTGGGTTAGGGGGTGCCCATGCGCCGCCCTGCCCACGCTACCACTGGTTGCAGTGAATGTCAATCACCGTGTCCCAGCCAGCAATTCTCAGCCGGCACTCAGTGATCGCCGCTAAAGCTGAGAGGGGAAAAATATGTGTGTAAACAACAAAGACCTCTCTCCTGTCAGCATGGACATGCTGCTTTCTGTCTCTCTGCACAGCATGTCTCCCTAGTAAAACAGCACACAGTGTAAGCACAACACAACACACTGTTAACCCTTTGATTGCCCCAGACGTTAACCCCTTCCAGCCCAGTGTCATTACTACAGTGTTAGTGCTTTTTATTAGCACTGATCACTGTATTAGTGTCACTGGAGATGTCAGTAGCTGTTAATCAGTTCCCACCCAGTGTCAGAATGCCCGCTGCAGTCCCACATAAGTTGCTGATCGCCGCCATTACTAGTATAAAAAAATAAATAAATAAAAATTCCAGTATATATGCCGCAATTTGTAGATGCTATAACTTTCACGTAGACCAGTTAATTTACACGTATTGGGATTTTTTTTTTAGCAAAGACGTAGCAGAATACATTTTGGCCTAAATTTATGAATAAATATTATTTTTTATTGGATATGTTTTAAAAAAAACATAAAAAAGTAAAAAATATTGGTTTTGTTTTCAAAATTGATGGTCTCTTTTTTTGTTTATAGCGCAAAAACTAAAAACTGCAGAGATGTTTAAATACCACTGAAAGAAAACCTCTATTTGTGGGGAAAAAAATTCATAAATTTCATGGATGTACAGCGTTGCATGACTGTGCAATTGTCAGTTAAAATAATGCAGTGCTGCATCGCAAAAAATGGCTTAGTCAGGAAGGGGGGTAAATCCACTGGAGGGCAAGTGGTTAATCACTTCAATACAAAGCACTTTTACCCCCTTCCTGCCAGGCCAATTTTGAGGTTTCAGCACTCTCACACTTTGAATGACAATTGCGCCGTCATGCAATACTGCACCCAAACTACAATTTTATCATTTTGTTCACACAACTAAAGCTTTCTTTTGGTGGTATTTACTGACCACTGGGGTTTTTTATTTTTTGCTAAATTAACAAAAAAAGACTGAAAATGTTGAAAAAAAAGTTTTTCTTTGTTTCTGTTATAAAAGTTTGAAATAAATAATTTGAGGCCCAAAAATGTCAGAACAGTTAAGATATTCCCCAAATGACCCCTTTTTGCAAAGTAGACTGTCCGACGTATTTCATAAGAGGCATGGCGAGTTTTTTGAAGCTGTAATTTGTTTGTCATCATTTTTTGGAAAATGAAGAAATTAAAAATATTTTCACAATTTTTTTTTACATACTGTCTCCAGTGCAGTACAACGTCAGCATATAACTGGTGTGGTGGTGATTGGGGACACTGACTGGTGACAGTACAAAAAAAAAAAGATAATTTAAAAAAAAATGTTAAAATTTTAAAATTATTTTTTATTACTCTTTTTTTAAGATTTTTTTTCATATTGCACTATGACCAAAGTAGTATAGTGTTACTATAGTAACATTGTACTACTTTGGGGAAGTGATGACTATTTTAATTTTTTTTTACATAATTTGATTGCTTATAGAATTTCTTTGCTATAAGCAAGCATTTAACTGAATGAAATCGATTCATGCAGGTTTTTTTGTTGTGATTAGCTGTGATTGGCCATGGCTAATCATATGACACAGATGGGCTGTGATTGACCCAGCCTGTGCATGTGATTGCTGTGACCATTCACAGCTAGACACAGTTGTATACAATAGATGGCATGAAAGGAAGCCATCCATTGTATACAACTGTCATGTGACCTGCTGTGATTGGTCAAAGCAGGTCACATGGTACTGGCAACAGGGCTGGTACACAGATTTGTCATCGGCCGTGTCCGAGGTACACGGCCGGTGACAGATCTCACCACAGCACGGCCCTGCGGGCACGCGCAAAGGACATGTGATGCCCTCCGGGAGGGATGAAGTGTTCGCCTGGCCGTCATTTGGCCATAGGCTGGGCGGCAAGTGGTTAAAAAGCTCCAACTATTTACACAGTGCTTTACATATGTTGCACCTTCAAATCAGTTCTCGCCCTCAAAGAGCTGACAATCTAAGGTCCCTACCTCACATACTAGGTCCAATTAACCTACTAGCATCCCATGTGAGTGAGAGTTGAAATCCACACAAGCACAGTGAGAGGATGCAAACTTTATGCAGGTAGTGTTGTGGCTGAGATTCGAACTGATAATCCAGGTGCTGCAAGGCAAAAGGGCCAACCACTAAGCCACTGTGTTGCTATCATCAGTGCTTCAAGTATATAATCAACTTTGTATAAAATAACTTTATGTAGAACAATGGTAGCTGCTGCAAACTTTGAAGAATGATACCCCGTGTATTATGGGAAATAGTAGTGTCAAAGATTAAAACAAAAAAGGATATTCCTGCTCTCACCGTACTAAAGTGCTATGTTCTCTCTGATGTAAACATAGTAACCACTATTTGGTGAATGATGTAGCTGTAACATAGTTACCTTTTAGTTGCTGGTATATCCTAAAAGTAAATCCCCTTATGTGGCTTGCAATTTCAGTAAAGGAGTGTCATGTACCTTGGTTGGAGGTTCAGCTGATGAGAGGGCTTACCTTGTGGCTCCAGTTCGAGCACCCCTGAAGGTTGTTACAGAGTTACAAGGCATCGGTACCAGTAGTTTGGTACCAGGTTACTGACAAAGACAAAGACATTGGCTGAAGTGTGGTTAGGTAATAGGCTGAGGTCAGTACCAGGGAAGCAGGCAGAGTGAGGTACAGTAGCAGGCCGAGGTCACACCAGGGAAACAGACAGATAGTAGTCAGAAGCAAGCTGAGGTCGGTATCCAAAATCCACAGGGAGAAAACAGGTCACACAGGAACACAGGTCACAGTGAAGCTGAAGAACATCCAGTAATTAGCACACACCAGGATTTCTTTTAAAGAGGCAGCTTAACGCATGGGAATGAGCATTAGCTGCACAAAAATGAGCATAAGCTATAACATTAGTATTAGCTGTGCAAGTATTGGTCCTCTGACAAGGAATTTTTACTGGGATCTGTTGTTGAGATGCCATAGACTTGTGGATAGCGCGCTAGCAGGTCTGAGGGAGAAGCCGTGCATGCACTTTCAGGATCATTGTAAATGGCTTCCTGGTTGTCCCCACCCAATCAAAAGGGCTGAGGTGTGTGATATAGGAGAACCACAATGTTTGATTAAACTTCAGCAGATACTCCTTTATTTTCAGTTTTCTCATTATATTAAATATTTCAGGATAACCACATTATACAGTTTGACAACCAATGTATTATCAAAAGGTATGAAATTACCATTTGGAAAAGACCAAATGTGATATACAGTGAATACATACACCTCAACTAGGACATTTATTGTGACCTGTTTGTTGTACATTGTAGTGTACAGTAGTCTGGTATCAAATCAATCATGACTTTACTATATTTCCAGGTAGACCCTTGTTATGGCATTATAATGTTATCATATCAAGATTTATGGGATATGAATAGATGTATGAAAAGGGGAGCTTCAGGTTAAGTAAAGCCAGGTTTAAAAAGTGTATTGATTTAACTGCTCTGCTAAATTATTTATAACAAGAATAATTTAATGGCTCTGGAAGAAGAATAACAGTTTACAATGGCACATAATTAAGAGTCAGGGGTTTACATTTATTTACAGCAGCTAATAAGCCATTTTATTCTGCTTGATCTGCTGAAGCTGGTTGGGACTTCAAAGCAGGGGTGTTGTGTGTTATGTGTCAGCTCTGTCTCTGGTCATACAAGATTCAAATCTGACGGGTTGTCACAGACTTGCAAATGTTGAAGAGATTTTTATAAGTGTGTGCTTTATTAGAATCCAATACTGTCACAATTGTCACCAGCGACAAGACTTAAAGGGAATCATCATGTCATGAGAGAAACATGAAAGTTGCTATTGTTGAGTTCAATTTCTATAAATGCTAGTTGCCTGTTTGTCATGCTAATTCTCTGGTTACAGTACAATCAGTTACCAATCAGAGCCAGAAC